AAATTTGCTAAATGCATGCAGGCTACGCCACTGCACTCAAATGAACTGAACACGTGTCCTGGATCGGCTTGTAGAAGCAGAAGCCGGCGATCACGGCACCCAGGTTGCCGCCAGCTCCCACGAGGGCAGAGACCACTGCAAGTTGCTTACGATTCATGAACGGCATTATTGTATTAGTATTAGTGTTATTATTATGAGGTGGCCCAACCTGACACAGGGTTAAGGGTCACAGGTAAGGAATAAAGGGCCAGCACGAAGCTCAGCACTGCCCGCGCAGGGGCGGAGCCAACACGCACCTCAGCAAGGCAAGGAAAGGAAAACCCAAGAGGTAGGGTCTAGGGGGATCCAAGCAGAACCCCAAACCTAGGCAGGGGGGGTTCCTGGAAAGTTGCACGCAGCAAGAAACTGCAGCACAGGTAGTGCTTAGACATACGGCTAGCGCAGGGACGCGCGCGGTCAAGACACACCTGAGCAAAGCACGGGAAGAACCAACGGGACTAAACCAAACCGCAGCGCCGAAGCTGTATCAAGGAGTACAGTGACACCCGGCTAGCGCAGTAGCGCGGCACCGACGAAGACAAGTCGACAGGTGGCCGTCAATCGGGATTCCAAGTGTCCCCGAAAGTGGAAGTAATGAGGATCCCAAGCGCGCAAGCTGCAACCTGGAGGGTCGCGCGCACATCAGGAGAAAGCGACGCGCCGGTAGTGATCCATCCGGACTTTGCTGTGATCCGCTTGGATGAGCGCGGGACTTGTTAAATGTTAGCTGAGATATAAGTGCTTGTTAACTTGGTATAACTCCTTCCAAGTAGATATCAACATGTTATAAATGAAAATAAGCCCTACTAAGTCTTACTAAACTTTATAAATCTTAGAGGAGTTAGTGGAGTAAGGTAAATGGTTAGATAAGTACCATAAACTTTACCGAGTTTAGTTAATGATTAGTGAAAATGTTAAGGACTTGGCTAAGTAGTTAAACTAAAACAGCTAAATGGTTAGCGTACTTATTTAGTGGTTAGGTAACCATTTGGTTAACCACTTAGTGAACCCAAATCACCAATTTTCGGAAGTCAAGAAAAGGATTATGTGAGACATGAACAACCAATTTTGATAGTTTGGGAACATTTTTTGAAATTCTTGTTAAGAGCCACTGGGCTGCATCATACCTCGAGAAGCCTTGTGGCTATAAAGCACAAAAAACATTCAGCCCAGTGGGCTGCATGTTTTGTCAACATGTCACATACTGTATTGCATGTGGCATTTTCACTCCAGCAGAAATGTTTAAGGGCTGCAGCAGTGTTTTGTTGAAGCATGCATGCAGCAAAAAATGTTCAACACTGCATGCAGTGGCATACAGCAGACAGGGCCTGTTCTCGTTTTAGTGCCAACCATGGATGTACCCCAAGGTGTGCAGGATGCTGTCAACCAGGTGTTGCAAGCAGAGGGCATGCCCACCTTGAGCCAGTGGAATGCTGTGCTTTCCATTTTGGAAAAGCATGGCTTGGCTTGGAAGCAAATGCTGACAGCATGCAGCTTGCTGGTGCATCCTATGAACCGAGCAGGGATGGGAGTCAATAGCTTTGCTGTCCATAGCAAAGGAGCTTCTCTCCATCAGACTGGCTTTGATGCTCAGCATTTGCATAGCAGCACACGCAGCTAGGATTGCTTAACATTGCCTTTGGCTTTTGCAAGGCCGCTTGTACTAGAAAGTATAAAGGGTTTAGAGTTTAGGGTTTAGGGTAAGCCCCAGCATCTGAGGCTTTGAGCTGGCTCAGGATGCTTCTGTTCGACAGAACCAGGTGGCCTTCAACCACGTGCTTGTGCAGCAGTCCAATGGACTTTTGGCCCCCATCAATTCGAAGGAAAGGTATCTGTCAGTAAGCAGTGGGCATTTGTCACAATTTGTGAAGGCTGCATTAGCTGAGTGCTCCACCAACCAGAAGGGTCTCCAAGACTCTGGCGGTAGGTTAAACAAGCAGACCCTTTCCAGAGACCCTGAACTCAAGAAACTTTTGGAAAGTGGATGGGAGTGGACTGTCGTAAGCTGGAAAGCCGAATCCACATGGCCCCTGCTTCCAAGCCTTGCTGAAAAAGCATTGAATGCTAGCAACTCGGCTTTTACTGCCCAGAACGAGGTAGAGTTCTTGCTGCAGCTTTTCCAGCTGGCACAGCAGCAGAAGGGTGCCAATCTGCAAGAGCTGGCAAGACAGCTTGGCCAGGAAAGCCCACTCAGCAGCTACAGCTCTGATATGGGCAAATGGGTGGAGATGTTCAGTGGTCAGGGCGATTTCCTAAAATTCTTAGGTCCGTTTTCGCAAGAATTCGGAGATGGGGTCAATCTCGGCCAGGAGTTTTGGGCTGCAGTTGCAGGCCCTTTGCAAGCACAGCTGCCTATGATTAGGCTTGCTATGTTGGCGAGCAACTACACGGCACCCCAAAGCAAAATAGCCAACGGCTTAGCCAGGCTCATTGTCAGAGCAGACTTCGACAAGCTAAAGAACAGCAAGGTCAAGACTGCAGCGGACAAAGCTGAGAATGGCTTGTTCCAGGCTTGGTCGAAAGTCGCAACCTTGCTGCCTGATTTGGGAGCTGCAAGGGCTTTCGGGATGCTCTGCATAAGGTGCATACTGCATCTGCTGGGCAAAGAGCACCATGTTTTTGCTTCAGAAGAGGATTTTTCTTGCACTGCACTGGATTTTACTTTTTCTTAGCAAGCCTATATGGTTAAGGGTTTAAGGTTTAGGGTAAAGGGTGCATCTTGTAGTTTTTGTCATAGAGACCCGTTTTTGCATGGGCTTCAAATGGCAAAGTCAAGGAAAATGGGCAGAGAAGCCAGGATCTTCAAGACAGTTGAAGAGATCTTCCTACTGTTCGAGGATGACTTGAATGGTTGTGGGGCAGCAGCTTCCAGTTCCACTTCTGCTCGCAGCAAACCTGCTGCTGGGACAGCCATGGTGGCTCTGGGCGAAGCTTACGACCCTTTGTGGCTTGCACAGCAGAAGATTGAGCTGAAGATTGGGAACATCTACCAGCGCAAGGACCAGCTCTGGAGGCTCTTGGCCCTGGACAAGGACAAGCTTTGCTTTGAGGCTGCCAGCTTGTTTGCAGAAGGGGAGATGGAGCTGGCAACTGCTGATTGCCACAAAGAGCTGAAGCTTCACAAAGGGCCAGTTCCTAGCATTTTGGGAAAGCAGGCTGCTGCTTCCAGGATGCCTTCCACCCTGTGTACAGCTGAGCAGAAGCAAGCCAGTTTGTTCCTTTCTTTGCTTAAAGCAGCCCCTAAGCTAGAGCCCAAAGGGCTGTGGGAGCTTGTGGGCATTGAGTCTGCCTCAAAGAAGCTTAGCTCACACTGGTCCCTGTGACTGACAGCTGCAGCAAAGTGACAAGCAAGCCTCCAGCCAAAGGCTGCAAGCATGGTGTGGTGACCTCTGCCGAAGGCACTGATTATTTTGTGTTGCCGCCAAAGCTTTTCAAGCCGGCAACAGCAACAGCTCCCGATGATGGGACCACAGCTCCCTTCTGGTATGTGCAAACTAGCAAGACCCCCAACCTTGCTTTGCAGCCAATGGACAGCCAAGGCTGCACCATCAATTGTTTGGTGAATTCAAAAGCCATTCAAAAGCATGAGCTGCTATCCATGCCAGAATTTTTGGCAGAGCCCTTGCCTGCTGAGCCTAGCAAGAAGAAGGCCAAGAAGCAGTAGTTGCTGGAAGAAGCATGCTGCTATGGTTGTTCTTGAAAAGCTTCTTGGGTTTCAAGGCCTCCTTACTTTTAAGTCTGAGCTTGGAGAGCCAGACATTGCAAAGACTTCTGACAGCTTGAAGGTGTCAACAGCTGCCAGCTTTCTGCACACAGCAGTGGGAGCTGAAAAACTCAAGCGAGCTTAGGGATGCTGCGATTGCTGCATGCACTTACATTGTTGTCTCTGGGTTTAGGGTTTAGGGTTTAGAGCTTAGGGTTTAGGGTTTATTTGAAAAAGTTGCAAGTTATGATGGTGTTGCTGCAGAGCTTGGCATTGTAGTTCCCACATGATCATAACCATGTTCCCACCATGAGCATCACCATGACCATCCTCATCACCACCATCTTTCGCATTTGAACCGTCATAAAAGTTGCAAGGGCTATGCATTCTTGTTGCAAGCATAATCCTCATTAGCCTGTCATTTGCATTGCTGTGACATTGCTTTGCTAGAACCAAAACGTAATAACAAGTAATGTTGCCCATCTGTGGCCCCCTGCAATTGTCAGCATTTGTTCCAGCAGTGCTTCCAAGCATGCCGTCACATTCTGTCTATGTGTTGGAGCCAAACTTCTGCAGAGTAAATTTTTGAAGGTACTGTTGAACACTTTGCTGCGAATTGGCCAGCAGCTTCCCAAGCTCTCAGAAAGATGTTTTTCGCAGATGACATGCATGTATATCTGCATATGTCTTTGCAGGCCACATGTGTCAACACATGCACTTTTGCTTTTGCATCCATCATAGGTCAGCATAAGTCACATGCATTCCATTGTAGCTGCAGCTTGCTTAATCGGGCCATCATGGAGGTGAAGTTGAGACAGAATTTTGTCTTGACTGCCAATGGGGTGAACTGGACAGTTCCGCCCAACCTTCTCAGCCACCACCTTGGGTACACCTGGGTGAAGATCCGAGCCAGCTGCTATGGCCTTGCCAGAATGCTGGCATTTGAGCCCACCCATGGGAAGAACTTTGTCAGCTTCAAAGGATCTCCTGGGCTGGAGTCTCTGCTGCACATGAGGAATTCCAACTGCAACTTGCTTGACAATGAGAAGCACCTCTTCCACTCAGAAGCTCCGGCTAAGAAGAAGAGGAAAGTGAAGGCTGCAGCGGACCCTTCTGCAGTCAACATTGTGCATCTGGATTTGGGCACTCATGGCCAGCTGAAGGCTATGAAGGCTACTAAGAAGAGGGAGGATCTGATCATCCCTTTGGATGCAGCCTACATCAAGATGTTCCTGGAGTACATGTATTCCGAAGGCATCTCCTTTGAAACCCCTTCCAGGAAGTATGAAAAGAGTGGCAACTTCACCAAGGAAGCTCTGGCAGCCAACAGCAGCAAAGGCGATGATGAAGAGGCTGACTCAGCTGGTGAAGATGAAGATGATGATGGAGATGAGCAAGCAGCTGCAGGAGATGAGAGCTGAGTAGCTTGCACTGTGCGCAAACATAATTTTCCTAGTTCAGGTTGTCTGTCTGGAGAACCAGTAGCTTCCTTGCGAACAGCTTTTCTGAGCTGTCAGAATAAGCTTCAGTAGCTTTGCTGTTTTTTCTGCAAAGGTAGGTAGCTGCAGTTTGCATAGCATGTGAAGTAGTGGTTTCCTTCTCATGTCTTAAATGTGCAAAAGAGCATTGCCATATGAGCTATGTTGGCTGCAGCTACGTTTGCACTTATTTTAAAAAGCAACCTTAGCATAGCAGTGCAGCTTGGATGGCAAGTGCCTTACTCTTGCAAGCAGCTTGCAGCAGCAAAAAATGTCAGCCGTAATCGCACAGTTTTGCACGCCTTAGGGTTAAGTAGCCCCATGTTCCTGCGAAGCTTCATCGTGTGAAGTAAATATTCTTGCAAGGTTTCTCTGAAGCCTCATATAAAGGCTGCCTTTCCTGCTGAGTGCCAGAAGCCTTTGGGCTGCATGTTCCCATTTTGATTCAAAATCATGAGAGCAATTATGTAAAGGCCTAGTATCCCCCTGAATAAGCTCCATATAGCAGTCCCCTATATACTCCCCTGTATATTCCCCTAGACTAGGCACTTTCAAGGAGCTTATTCTGTAATGCATATGGCTGCATACTAAGATCCTTAAAAGCCTCTGGGCTGCATATAAAAGCCTGTGGGCTGCATGTTCTTGCTGTGATGGAAAAGCCTCTGGGCTGCGTGTTGCATGTGTGTTTTCAAAGCTGTTGAGCTGCATGCATGTGTTGTTGGCCAGCAATCTGCAATTTTGTTATCCGGCAGGAGATTGCTCAAGAAGCAATCAGTGCCAGTCAGTTAGAGCCAAGTTCCTGCAGAGTAACTTTAAGCATGGTAGCACAGCATTGCATGCAGGTACACAGCCCTCAGCTCAAAGCTTAACCTCAAAGAATGTGCTGTTCAAATCCTATGTAACTTTGCTGCGTGCGACCCTGCCACTCCTTGCCCCAGCGAAGTGTAAGTGCTCCCTTGAAAATGGCCAGCGCTGCTGCTCCACCTCCACCCCTTTGTGGACAGTTTACTTACTGTGACACTGGGTGCATTGTGCTGAAGACCAAAACTGGTGTTCATTATTTCAATGAGCACGAGTTGCTTGCTTGCATATTAATGTGTGTGTGTGTGTTTTGTTGAGCAATGCTTAAAAAACAACCCAGCCAAAGCATTGAGACCAGCCCAGGCTTGAGCTTCTCAATGTTCGAGGACATTTCTACTCCACCGGCGACAAGCATGGCTTCTACAACATTTTCAGACTTGCCTCTTTGGACCGAAAGGTTTATCTTTGGTATTCGCTGAAATGGCAGAATTTCTTCATCAGTGATGCTGTGGTCAGTGATGAAGATGGGGACTGGGAAGGAGTTCGAGTGTGGGGTCGCTCACCCCTCACACAGCTCCACACTGGACCTGGTCCTGGCCAGCTGTTTTGTCCTTGGACAAGTACAGAAGCTTAGGTGCGTTTTTGAGCTGGTTGCACTGGAGCATGAACAGCTGGAAAAGCTTTGGAGCAAAGACAATGACATCTTAGCTCTGAAGCAGCTGTTGGCTGAGAAGGAGGCTGCTTTTCTGGAACAAGCTAAAGAGCTGGAAAGCTTGAAAGCTGAAGTGGCAGCAGCAGCCCAAGCTGCATTCAGCACTCAAGCTGCAGCAGCACCAGCTGCTGCACCAGGCCCTCCTCCAGGCCCTCCACCAGGCCCTCCACCAGGACTGCCAGGAAGTTCTACCCAGCCAGTAGCTCAAGCAGCTTTCCTGCAAATGGGGGTGAACCCTCCTCCACCTGCAGCCCCTGCAGCTATGGGTAAAACTTGGCTGGAGAAGACCTGGCTGGAGAAGCAGCTGAAGACTGGTTGGATGAACCGGTCAATAGCGCTGGCTGGGGCCGTCAAGCTCAGGAAAGGTTCCAGGCTTGAGGAGTTGGTGCAGAGGCATCTCGGTTGCCTTTTGTATTTGCGATTGTAGGCTGAGGTAGCAAACAGTTGTTTGAAATTCAGTCCAAAACACTACACTACTAACCTTGCCCTGGCCCCCACACCAACATGTGCATTCTCAGGTATGAGGATTATTCGGATGAATTCAGGCAGGCTCTGGAGAAGCATGTGTCAATTTTAAAAGCCCATGGCTGGGACTGGCATTATCATTACTGAACTTGTAGCATGTCATGACAAGCAGCTAGTGCTACATAAAATAAGTAGCCCTTCCAAAGTATAGCTTATGCAATACTGATGTGGGACTTACTAACTACATTGGTTGCTGCTTGATCATGGCAGCCTACACAAATATTGCAGCAGGCAAGCTTTAATAGCTTTCGAGCTGTGTGTCACCAATTGCAGAATCATTGCTACTACCGTTCAAGCCTTGAGATTTCGACATATGAACCCTAAACCTTGAACCCTGAACCTTAAACCCTAGAACCTCAACCCATAGCACGAAACCTAAAACCCCAAACATGAAGTTCGCAATTTCGAGCCCTAAAGCATATACCTTCATGTTTTCATTCAGAACCAATGAACACAGTATCACTCAGTCTCAAAGACCAGGCATGTATCCCCCCGATTTCATCATGACATATGTTGTTTTGATGAAGCCCAAAAGCTCAGCATCAAGCATAAACCAGACTTGTCTAGCAGTTCTTTTTCAAATTAAAACCCACAATGCCAAACCCACAGAATAACTGGTAAAGAATGTTAGCTGTTTATGCAAAGTTCTGCAATTGAGTGGACACACTTTGCTTAGCGGCTGCCAGCCACTCAAGATTGCAGCCTGCAACAGCACAGGCTCAATTAGTTTGCCAAAAGCTGAAGCTTCTTGCTGCCAGCCAGATGTAGGCATCAAAATAGATAGACATGTATGGTTGATAAACATTTTCTGGTTGCAAATTCAAAAAATTTACGCGTATTTTTCACAATGTTTTTGGTAATTTTTGATGCTGTATATAATTTTTACCATGTTTTCCTAAAGCATGCAAAGACAGAAAAAAAACATTCAATTCAAATTTGGAATTGGTAGGCTAGAATTTTAGCATCCCAATTCCGATTTGGAATTGGGGTGCTGGAATTTTGGCTCCCCAATTCCGAACCGGAATTGGGGAGCAGAAATTCCAGCACCCCAAGTCAAATTTTGAATTGGGATGCTGAAATCCTAATACCACACTTCATGCTTGAAGTTGGTGAACAAACTCCGGCAAGGCGATGCCGACACGGAATTCAAGTCGTTCAGGTTCCAAATAATTGTAAGCATTTTAATTTGAAAAAACATATAATGCAAAATAAAAATCCGAACATATGATTGTCTTCACTGCCTTAACACTTACATATTATCCAGTAGCAGCCAGGTATATGTATTCAGAGCTTTGGGAAAATGAGTTTTAGGCTTGGGGGTTCAATGTGTATGCTTCAGTGCTCAGGATCTAAGATTCCATGTTCAAGGCTCAGAATGAAATGTTTAGGTTTTGATGTTTGAAATTAAAAAAAATGTGTATTTGTGTTTTTCAATTAAAAAATGAAACAAAATTACTTGCAAACTATTTTTGTTTTTATTGTACTTATTAATTTCATCATTGAATTTTTGAAAATAATACTAAGCACTAATTCCTTTACAGGCTGAACACAAGATGCTTTTATGTAGATGATGCATTGTTGTACATTATTTATAGTATTTAGTCCAACCAATATGTTCAAAGTTTTTCTTTAAATGAAGCATAATGGTTACACAGTTGTTGTATGCCAACACTTTATGTGTTGTTTGGTTGGCAATGTAATGGCAGCACATGCTGGGACAGCCGCCCAACATGTGTCAATGTTCATTTGCTGGATACTTCATCAATATTTTCACTTACACATTTGAGGCCACATTTGAAAATCTTTATGTTCCAGACCTTTACAATATTTCTGCTGGTTTCGGTGCCCATGCAAACAAAAGGATGGGATTGGAACATGCCTTTATTTGCTGATTTTTTTGGGCTGTGCAATGTCTTGGTGTTTCACAAAGCCTTGCATTGCCAATGCTTTTGACTGGACTTTCCCAAGCTTGATTTGATGATGTTTGTTGCAAAAACAAAGTCATGAGTTTGATCATACACTTCCTTTTGCAATTCTGTTGGAACACAAACACATGTGTTTGCTGTTGCTGCTGCTGCTGCTGCTGCTGCTGCTTGCAAAAGGTATGTGCATGAATGTTTTGAGCGTTCGAACTGCTTCAAATGTGTATGCCAAGTATGCACATCAACATTATTCTTCTGAAAAAAACAAATTTTGCATAAGTTCGTGTTTTGCTGCATGTTGCTTAATTAGTTGTAAGAGTGGCTGTGGCAAGCAAGAAGCTTTTAGCTCTCTTTTGTAGCTTGAGTCTGGGCACAGCACAGTCTTTCTGCCCGAAAGCTCAACCGGAAGCTGGCCAAGCTAAGACCAAAGGCATTTTTAACACACTGCGATTTAAAGCCCCATATATTTTATGTGTGGTCCCTTTAGGATGCCCCAATGAATATGCCAGAAAGAACAAGAACCTCCAAGTCTTAGCTTGGCCACTGCACTTGCATGCAGCATTCCCACAAAAGCGCTTGCTGAAAAAAGAAGACTTCAGCGTTGCGCAAAAAGCCATGGGCTGCATGTGAACATTTGTCACATTCACACAAATGTGAATGTTTCAAGCAATAAGCAACTTGTACCTTGGTTTTTTGTTGGCCCTTTAGGAACTACAACACATGCAACCTTTCACATATGAAGAGCCATCCGGCTGCATGCTTCCATGTTGAAAACACTTGGCCTGCGTTTTGTTGCTTTCAGAAGCCTATGGGCTGCATGCTGGGCAAATTAGGTAATCAAGAGCCTTCGGGCTGCATATTGGAAACCTTAACTAATTTTTTGCATGCAAATGCAACATATTGTGCCACATTGTTTAGAACATGTTCACTTTGCACTTGTTTTTGTTGATCGCAGTTGCAGTATGTGGACAGATGCTCATGCAAAATGATTTCCATGTGTTGATGCTCAGGAAGCATTTTGCTTGTCCTTGAAAAGTAGAAGGCAGCCATGGCTCAGTGGTCTGTGAGCACTGTCTGCTCAGAGATGAAAGACTGCTCTGCTTTGTTGCAAGCAAGGAAGAAGTCTCCAGATGATCAGACGCAGAGCAAAATGCTGCAGATTCTGGAGTTTAAGCTCAAAGCTTTGCAGCATGTGACAGCTGCAGATGCTCTTCTGCTGCATCAAGCTGTGTCTGAATGAAATTTCAGTGAGGACATGGCTGAAAAGCTGGCTTCATCAATTGATGGTGTGATGGGGCAAAAGCAGCAGCTCACCCATGTGCAAAGCTTGAAGCCTCAGACCCTTCAGAACATTCATTTGTTCTTGACAGCTTCTGAGTGGAAGCTCTTGGATGATTGCAATGTTGCTTGGTGGACCAAGCAAAAGGCTTTGGTGGATCGCCTGAAAAAACTTGGCTTCAGGTCACTGTCAGAGCAGACGGTGAGAGCCTGTGTGGCTTTGCTTTGCTGCACCCTTTCCACACTTCCTCAGGATGATGATGCATTGCTCCAGATTTCCGTGGAATTCAAGGAATGCTTTGGCACCAGTGACAAGCCTGAGTCTCATGCGCCTTATCTGGTCATGTTTCCTGACCAGCCAAGTGGCTTGCCAGAGCAGCTGCTGGGCCATGCTTACAGCAAGGAAGATCCACCTGTGCCAAGGGATGTTCCTAAGCTGGCCCACATGAAGTCACTCATGGTTTTGCGGAATTCCAAGAAAACTTTGAAGAAGAACAAGGATGTTTCCAGGCAGAGCATGCCAACCAACTTGGTACTCCCTGAGGCCAATGTGGCAAGTTCAAGCTCCCAGGGTTCCATNNTGGCCATGATGGGTGTGATGGCCCACATGTTTCAGCAGTGTGCAAAAGGGCAAGGCTGTGACAACAGCACCAACAGCTTCAATAGCTTGGCTGAAGCTGCCCAGCGCTTCGAGCCTAAGACTCCTGCAAAGGATACGAAATCAATCCCTCTGCAGTTGGGAGACTGGCCAGCAGGCAGCCTTGCCAGTCTTAGACCAAGCAGGATCAGCAAGCACTGCTCCAGCCGAAAATTCGCCAGCCAAAGTTGATGGTGGAGAGCAAGCAGAAGATGAATCGCAGACTGCAGCTGCAAATGACAAGGCCAATATTGAAGAGCAGCTCTTTCAAACTTTGAAAGACAAAAAAAAAGCTGTTGCTGCCAAAGGCAAAGCTGCCAAGAGCAAGGGCACTGGCAAAGGGAGAGGTGCTGGCTCTGGGAAGAAGACCTTCTGCAGCCAACCCCAGCTTGAAGCCTTACCAGGCTCCTGCACCAACACCTGTGGAGTTGAAGTCCCGAAAGGCCTGCTTTGTTGACAAGCACTATCACAAGGCAAGGAAGATTGCTGCAGATGCAAATTTGACTGATGAAGAGTGCTGCATCTATGCAAGATCAGCCAGGGCCATGGCTGGCAGCAAGTGGGACTGTGCCCAGTGAGCTCAGCTTTGCTTTCTTGCTCATTGCATTTCCATGAGCAATGGGCTTTGTGTCTGAGGGCCTAATAGCAGCACAACCTTTGTGCAGGCTAGCAATAAGCTTTGCTGTGGGGCAGCTTGAGGGGGAGTGCGAAAAATGAGTGGGAGACATTCAGTGCTTGGTTTTGCAATCATTTGCAGGAAGGGATTCATGCATTTGTCCATGTAATGAAATGTTGGTAGGGCTTAGGGTGTAAGTTTGTAAACTGAAATTTTGGAGGCTTAATACTTGAGAACCATTAGGAATGCTTGCCTTGGGATATTTGTCTAGATGTCTACAGGTTAAGCCTTAGTGCTTAGGGTATATCATAATCCTTGTGGGCTTCATGTATCCCATGCTCCATTCCACCTACATTGGCGATGATATTCAGTTCATTTGTATTTCAGCCACAAGACTGCTTTTGGCCTTTGAAACTTGCTGCTTCAGGCTATCATGGTGATAGGCGCTTGCAATCCATCACAATGATTGCTGTCAGCTGGCTTGCATGTGTATCTTCCCAGCTGCACACATGTACATGTGCATATGTGAGATGTTTCTGAAATTTTTCACAATGATCCAAATGAGATTTCGAGAATCATTTTGGATTTTGACATTATTTCCTTGGTCAGAACATGTGGTGGATCTATCAGTGGCAAGGGAAGGTTTCTGAGATATGCCTGGGCTCTTCTTGCTTATCAGTCATCATACTTTCTTGCTGTTGCAATGAACTCAAGATGCCAATTCTGGTCACTGGGCATGCCATGTTTTTTCATTGTTTTCGTTCTGTCACAGAAGCCTTTGGGGCTGCATGACAATTGCAAGTACGCAGGCTTGCTGCCAGCTTGCTCGAAGCATTCTATGAGTTAGTGTTGGTTTATTTGTTGGACTGCAGGGCTTTGCAATATTTGCATTGTCTATTTGGCACTGTGATGCAGCTAGCAGATTTCATGGTTCATGTAGTAAAGTTGCACTTATGTCTAAATTCTGTGCACCAAGTGGACCATGGCTTTCGAGCTCCTGCCAATTCCTCTTCAATGGACAGGCAGGAGAAGCTCAGAAGACTGGAGGCAACCAAGAGAAGGGTGCCAGCTCTGTCAGCATCAGCCTTGGCTGGGCTGCTGCAAGATATTGAAGCCAATGGCTTGCCAGGGCTCAGTGGTAGAAAGCATGTCAAAGAAGCCACTGTCAATTCTCTGGACATGAATAGCTATGGAGACTTGATCCAGATCGTACACATAACTGGGAAGGACAACAAGAACATACCACTTGTTTATGCCAACTTCTTCACTTTGCTCCAAGGCTTCTTCCTGCAATGCAAGCCCTTCAGGGATTTGCTCATCAGCACTATGCAAGGTGCAGCAGCAAGAGCTTTATCGTTGTGCTTTTACGCCGACGAAATCAACCCTGGAAATAGCTTAGCTGTGGAGCAGAACCGAAACTTGCACATCATTTGCATGTTTTGTTTATGCTTTGCGAAATTGAGAAATCATTCTGCTTGGTTTGAAGCCTAGAGAAAACTTTACCACAGGCAAAATTTGGTGCGTTTATCTCAGCTTCTTGGAATTCGGGCCAGTGATCTTAGCCAGAGAGCAAGCTTGGCTACCAATTTGTTGCCAAAGGTCCACACTGGTCAGTGCTCTGCCTGGTGGTGTTAGCCAATTGGCTGCTTGCATACTGGAAGATATTTTCAACAGCGACAGAGCTGAGCCTGAGATTCTTGGTATCCAGCTGCAAGGTCCTGCCAAAGAGCTCTACAAGCTTAGGTTCACCTTGGGCGCCTTCCTACAAGATGGACAAGCTCATAAGCTGCTCTTCTCAGTAAAAGGCGACAGTGGCACAAGGTGCTGCATTCTTTGTCAGAATGTGGTTGCCCAAGGCTCCAACTTGGAAGATGCAGTGTTGACCAGCTTGGCTTCTGCAGAGGAGGAGCTCATTCTGACAAGTGATGCAGATTTCGAGAGGAGTGTCCAGACTTTGCTTCGAAAGCATACTGAGCTGAACAAGGGTGACTTTGCTTTGTGGCAGCAAGCATGTGGGATCACCTATAATCCTGCTGCTCTGATTTTTCAGCCTTCTCTGCAAAGGCTTGTGAAGCCTATTAGCCAGTGGCTTCATGACTGGATGCACTGCTTCTTTCAGAAAGGAATTTGGCTGCTTGGCCTGACAATTCCTTTCCCTTCTTAAGCCCTAAACCTATACACCCTAGTGAGTCCAATACACAAATCCTTTTGAACAAAAACTTCACATGTGCTTAGTGCTGCCACCCATGATTTTCCTTGTTGTAATTTCAAGCAAAGTTGTCGCAGAATCTTTTCTATCTCCTAGCCACCAAAATGAGGAACACAGTGATGTACTTGACCATGGAAGCACTGCAGGATGAGTTGCATGTGGATATGTATGCACAGCGCGAGTCCTAAAAAGCAGATCAGTCAACCTAGGCAAGATGTTCTCTGGCAAAAGAAAGGCAGCCAACAAGGAGGCTGGCACTTTCAAAGCTACAGCTTCTGAAGGCTTATCCCTTTGCAGCCTCTTTGCTGTGATGTTGCTGCTAGTGGTGGGCCCCCTGGAAGTGTGTGTCCAGCAGCTTCAGGCTTATTTGTTGATGGCAAATGTTGTGGACCTTTTGCACAACATGCCTGTGAAACCTTGTGCCCCATCCAAGTTGAAGGATGCAGTCACTGCCTTCCTCACAGCTTGCAAAGCATGTGGGTGGCAGAGTCATTGCCACCCAAAGTTTCACTGGATATTGCACATGCCAAAACATCTTGCCACATGGGGAATGCTTCCCAACACCTGGGTGCATGAGAGGAAGCATAAGGTGGCCAAGCGATATGGGAGCTGGCAGCACAACACCACTCAGTATGAGAAAAGCATCCTCTTGGAATGCTTGGGCCACTGCTCGGCTGAACTGAAGGAAGAAAACATCTTCTCAATGGCCTGCAGGCTGGAAAAGCACAGCCCTCCTTCTCAGAGAATGAAGGCTTTCTTGCAAGATTATATGGCAGAGCCAGCCCATTCCCTAGCAACTTCGACCACTGCACTCTTGTCTCCTGGAGGTTCCTGCGAAAAGGCTGATGTGGTGGTGTTCAAACATGCATTGTTGGTGGGCCAAGTGTATTTCCATGCAGAGTACAATGGCCAGGTCATCACTTTGATCAACATGTGGGCTGTTCTGGAAAATGAGCCAAAACAAGGCTGTTGCCTCTGCAGCAAAAGCCAAGGAAGGATCCAAATGATTGACACAGCTGACATAGCTGGTGCAGTGCCTTACTGCCGGCTGTCAGAGGACCGGTTTAGAGTGTTCATTCCTTTGCCACACAGGCAAGGCAGCACTTGACAGCTTTGAGCTTGGGCAAGGAAAATGCACTGGCAAGCTTAAGCAATGTTAAATGCCAGAAGCCAAATGGCTGCATGTACAACAGCCATTGGCTCGCCTCATGAAACATGTTTGATCATGGTGTCCATAACAAATTTTGATTTTCCATGAACCCGAAACTCAAATTGCACATCCAGAATTTCAATATTTGGAATATTGTTTGTAGTTTCGCACATTTGCCTTGGCATGTAGCTTTGCATCCCCAACTTTGTTCGTGCTGTTTGAAAAATGTGCACTAGCAGTACTCCCCTTTTGTATTTTGCAAAATTTCCAATGGAAATTCCTTGTTGGGAAACTTGGAAATCAGGATTTGGGAAATGCTAAGTACTTAATAAATGCATTGCTAAGTACTTAACAAACTTGATAAACAGTTAGCGAGTGAGTTAGTAAACATTTACTTTCTAATTATGAAACCTTTACTTTATAAGTTACTAAACACTTATATTTTGGCTAAACCCTTAGCTAACCTCCCTAACCCTTTCTAAAATTTACCAACCCCCGAGCACATCCAAGCGGGGCTGCGACAGCCAAAAATTGGGAGGGGCGTGCCATCTGAACTCTAACGAGCGACGAGCGCCATTAAAATGAGAACACTCTGCAAACAAATGGCGAGCGGAGCACCGAGTCTCGGCGCAGAAGGGGCAGGCTGTGAACAAAGAGTTCCTGTAAGCGTGCCTTCGTGTTGGAGCCCAGACTGCTCCGGGCGATCGAAAAACATTGAGAAGAGCAGCCTGGTCGTGGGACAGGGACTTGAGCCACCGAATCCACGTGGGATGGCTGGACGCTTCAAGATCGAGAGTTTCCAACCCTTCTCTATCTAAACGAGTGGCAGGGATAGAGTTGAGGGCTTGGAGCCTTGTGGCCTGGCGCAGAACGTGAGCGCCATCCGGAGTGTCAGCGCAGAAGACACGAGGCCCCGCGCGAGGTGGCTTTGTAGCCCGACGAGTGAGGTGAAGAAGACGGGCATCGCAGAAGAGCTCCAGAACCAACCCTAAAGGGGCGTCCAGAGATATCACGCGCATGCCAAGCTTGTCGGCGTAGCACGCCGCAGCATTGAGAAGAAAGGCAGAGGTATACTGCATATACCGCGAAACACGCTGCAAGCCGTAGACGGCAGTACCCAAAACGGGATGCAGCTGGATGCGTTGGACCCACCACCTGCCTTGACACCAACAGGTGCAGCGGGTGGAAAGAATGGCACGAAAAAGGGCACGCGCACAATGCCCGGGAGGAGGAGAAGTGAAAGGGCAGCCCCACCGGGCTTTGGGAAGCACGAAGGCCGAAGCCAAGCGCTCGCGCACATTGGCGGTGCCAGTAATGGCAGACAGGCGGTTGATGACTTCTTCAACAGCACTCCAGTCATCACGAGGAAGGGTTAAGGCACTAGGGTCACCTAAGTAAACCTTAAGGCCTAAATGTTCTACGGGGTGATTTTGCCCAGCAACCCACTCCTGGCGTTGGCTGAGATTTTCGGCGACGCCAATGGACCTGTCGGCAGAAGTGGCGCACGCGACGGCGTGGGCCAGGCAGGCCTCCGGGTGAGGCCCCTGGACGACTATGGTACGGTCGTCTACAAAGGCAAGGCGTTGCTCATTCTGGCCAGAAGCACCGCACCAAGGAGGACAGCAGGTGCAACGGGGGAGCCCACGCAAGGGAAGAATTGGGGGTGAGGGAACCCCACCAACGACGCAATGCCTGCAAAAGGCGGCGATGGCATGAAGGAGATGCCGCGACGGCCGGCCCACTGGCCTTGAGGCTGCTCCGGGAAAAGGCTCAGCAAGGCCTTCTGCCAGGCGCGAACAAGGACGGATGCCACAGAGATGGGGCGAGAGTCCAGGAAGTGCGCTAGGAATCCCCACAGTCTTCCAATCCCAGAGGTTGAAATCACCCCTAAACCCAGGGCTAGGAGTAGGCTAAATCAACCCATGCATCTGCAGGCTGATCAGGCACGGTGCTTGGACACCACACGGCTTCCCAATCAGCACGCATATCGAGGGCAGTGAAACAGGGGACAGTGGGCGACGGGCGCATGACATTGCTGGCGGCAGGCCAGACATCCGAAAACCACTGGCGAAAACGCATCTTCCAGGCGGAAGTGTTGCTTTGAGAGACAGCACGATTGCAAACGGTGATGGCGTGATTTAGGCACTCAATGGCATCCCTTAAGACGACGACGCCAGCAGGCAAGGTGAGAAGCCCGGACTGCTCGGTGCGCGGGGATAGGGTTATTTGGGGCATTAGGGTTAGAGTGGCACACCTCGCTTAGGGCGCGATGCAAGCGCTTCAAACGACGCGCAGCAACAGGTTCCTGACACCTGTGGGAGGGAGCCGGCGCGCGAGGCCGCAGGGAAGCAACTGAGCCTTTAGGACGCTCAGCTGAGACATCGCGAGTGGCAATGCCCTCATCGCAAGCTATGGAAAAAAGGCCCTCGGCCCTAGCATGCCCGGCGGCCCATCTATCAGAGATGGGAGCGGTCACGGGCGCAGAAGGGAAATCATGGTTGAGGCGGGTCGCTACGGGGCTATAGGGCCAATGACAGAGCGGCTACGCCAGGAGAAGGCAGCACACTTACGGAACCTAAAGTGAGGCGTCACTGCAGAGATGGAGCACAAGAACACAACACCACCATGGTGAGGAATGCCAGGCAGCAAAGACATACGACAAGCGACCACGGAGGTATTAGCCACAGCGCGAGAGATCGCAGTTTCAGCTACTGTGGTGGGGATAGGGGCGGAAACCCTCCACCCGCTAGGCAGGGCACGATCGTGCAAGGGCTTCCAATTCCAATCGCCTATGACGAAAACGGCCTTGGAGGAGGAATCAACCTGTGGTGCATCCATGCCAAATCAGGCTGCTGAGCATGGCCATACACAGACACTACAGTGAAAGCAGCGGTGGAAAAGGCCACGGCTCTGTGCATAGGGGAAGGTGCAAAATGGGAAGGGACGCTAACAGGGCAGGCGCGCCCAAACACGGGCCTCCACAGGACGGCGGTGCCGCCGTTGTTTCTGGCGAAACCGCGAGGACGCAAGGGAGGAGGAGGAGGAGGAGCGGAAAAGGCCGAATGCCAACCGGCATTGTAGGCGGCACGGCGGGCCCAAGCAGCATTGCCAACATGACGGGTTTCTTGCAAACAGACCACGCCGGCCCCTTGGGCAGAAGCAAAACTGAGAACCTCGAAGAGGCGAGCAGCAGTGAGCTGAGTGACGTTAACGGACACAACTGTGAGCGCATCGGCCAGCGAAGGGGGAAGCGGATCCCCAGACAATGCACCCTAGCGGAGGGGGTCAAACTGCCAATAAGCAACAGGTTGGGCTGGTCAAGACTTGCGCCGAGCTTTGCGGCTTTGCGCTCCCTAAAGCGTTTGTCCCGGAGCCGAGCGGCAGCTTTAGCTTCCGGACGCACCTGATAAGCGCGCTGCTTTTCGCGGTACTCGGGACGAGCTCGATGCTTAGCACAGGCCCGTAGAAACCTCCTTATGCCTAACAGCGGCACTACGCGAGCGAGTGGCAGTGAGGAACTGCTTGACCGAAACCTTACAAACGGCCTTAGAGCAACGAGAAGATTTCAAATTGGACAACTTCTTCAACAAACCGCACCTAGAGCACGGATAGGCGACATAAGGCATTTTGACCCCACATGAGACTCTCAGCAGGGGGCAGAAGCGATTTTTGGCTTTTTGGCCTTAAACTCCGCCAACCAGGCCTCGAACTTGGCCACGGCCTTTTTTCGGCGGAGTTCCGTGCTCCCAGATTTGAGTAACTGGGCAGCAAAGCCTTTGCGCCACCCAGGCGCCAGTACGGGGGG